TTTTGGCTAAACCATGTTTTGAAACTTTGCACAATGATTTTGTAGACTTAATAAAATATGTATATGATTATTGTTAAGTCCAAAAACTAAGAATACAATATTTTTACAAATACAATAAAAAATGAAAACGAAGAAACCAATAAATGTGTGTGTATAGATATTGAGCTTAACGTACTTAACACACATAATATAAAACCTATACTAAGTTACCCAAGCTAGATCTTGATCTTCAATAAGCTCGACTTGGTACACTTGCGGATGAAGCTGAACTTGGATCTTGAACTAGAATTGCATAAGCTTCACCGACATTCCGCCAACCTCCTTTGGATATGATCGTTGAAGCTCTATTCCATTCATCCTCCAACAACGCTGTTTGTCTACAATATATAGGAAAACACAAATACTAGACAAACAATATTAGTGGTAAATTGTTTGTTAAACATCATCAAAACAAGAAGACCAACACTTACTATTAGAAATCAAGAGAATACAAATAGGGTTACAAATCTCTCAAATAAACCCTAAAACAAAGCCTCTAGATCTCTTAAAAATTTCTCATAATTGGATGCAACAATCCCCTCTCACAGACTGCTCAAAACGTCCTTACTTAACCCTAATTAATTAGGATTAGGCTTATATATCAACTCAGAAACGAACCGGGTCAAAACCTGTAAACCCAGAAAATAATCGCTACGCGGTCGATCGCGGTGGTCGACCGCACACCCTACGACAGAACACAAAAATCCTACAGGATACTCACGGTCGACCGTGACGGTCGACCGAATTGAATCCCGAGACCAAAATTGATTACAGGGTCTCTGTGGCCGACCATGACAGTCGACCGCCTTCAGCTCCAGAACGCATCTAGACTTCGTGCACGTTTCCAGTCGACCGCCGCTGACTCGCGGTCGACCGGCAAACTTTCTAGCAGTTTTTCCTATGATTTTCTAAATTGTTCTTCGTCGCGTTCGCCATTTCTTCAGCTCCTCCATTACAAGTTTTACAAAGCTAATTTTGGAAACCATTATGATCATGAAAATACACACACAGAGACAAAAACCCATGACCTTTCAGCATTTTGCAGGAAACCCATAGGCACTTTCAAAAATCACAGTTAGCCCCCTACAAACCTTTCTATCTTGCAGACATGACATCTTGAGACTCATTGCAGGTTTAGTGTAATTTTCCCAAAAGATATTGAGGGTATTGTGCAAAAGTTATTGGGGGGTTTAGTGTGATTTTGAAGTTCATAAGGGTTTCATGCAAAATGCTGAGAGTTCATGGGAGTTTAGTGTAATTTACCCTAATTATTATATTGAAGGTTAGATGATTTCATCTGCAAAATTGATGAGCATTGAGATTTTTTCCGGGTTGTTTCCGGTATTCAAAGCCAAATATTATAAACTGTGTAGTATTCCTCACTTGTAGTTCTCTCATAAATTTTTCCACGCCGTTTCCAGTACTAATCCGAGCCTACTTATGATTGATTTCTCGAACTTCCACGAGCATTAATTCTCCATTTTTCAGTGCTCAAATTGGAGATAAACTATATATTGTTTCTCCTTGGTGCAATATTTTCATCTTTTCTCTTCTAACTTGCATAAAAAAAATTTCGAAACGGTTTGCTGCAATGGCGGCTTAGTGTTTGCCAGTATGAAGCTGATCTTCGTCCAAGTATGAGCGTCCTCGTCGAAGCCCCTCCAGCCTCTGCTGAGTCCTCGTTCCCATCCTCATTGCAAAATCCACGGATCGCGAGCTCTTTTCTCATATTGTTCACTGCCTCCTGTTGACACTTAACGTGGCTTTGGAGCTTGTTCGCTGACTGCCTCAAGATTTCTCTACGGTTATTCATGGACGCTTCGAAATTCGAGTTATTTGTTTTCTCTGTATGGGGCTACTCGTTCCAATCCTCATTGCAAAAAATATATTATATGGTGATAAATAACATATTTTAATGTTTGAGTATGTTAGGAATTGATTTGAGATCAATTCAGTGTATATATGTGAGTGGAGGAGAGAAACATACACGAAATATGCACGAAAACAGAAGAAAACTGTAAAAATCTTTGCTAAGTCGACTTATAAGTCAACTTGCCATAAGTCGACTTATCAAAGCCGTAAGTCGACTTGTCAGATACGTAAGTCGACTTATAGGCTGATTTCCAGTTTTCTTTTGGGTTTCGGGTTTATATCTGTTTTGTTTCGATTCCAGACTTATATAAACTCTTTTAAACCTGTTTTTGCTGCACTTTCCCGTGAGAATCCAGCAGTCACCCATCCTCTTAAACCCTAGTTCAAGTTTTTGAGTTTTTGAAAGAGTTTGGTGAAGGATTCGCCGAGAGGAAGGCGAGATCTGTGTTTCTAGCAAAGGAAGAGGTCTTGCACGTGTGTTGGAAGGATCAACAACGACTTGAGGCAAGGTTATCTTCGTCCAAACCCATCCCCATAGTTAAATAAGTAGTATTAGTTGTTAATATGATGTTTACTATGTGCTTTCATGTTTAATCTTAACTTGTGATGTTAAAAGATAAATTTTTGATGTTGAAACTCAATTAAATGCTAGATCAGGAACTTTTTCTTGTTGTTTATGATAGAATCATGATCATGATCATTAGGGTTTCATTTAATTTCATTTTTACATCTTTTAAACATGCTTAATTCATGTGTTAACCCTAGTTTGATGTTTAATTGTCTTTTTATGTTAATTAATCATGCTTAAACCTTAGGCCAGTGCTTCCTAATTAGTCTAATCATGTTTAAACGAATTTTTATTCTTCCGCCCTTTGTCAAAAAAAAAAATAATAATAATCATGTTATGATAGTTATGTAATATTTCATGTTAATATTGAAAATCTTGAATAATCATGTAGTTAACCTTAATTCTTTTAATTCAAGTGTTAAACCATGTGATATGACCTCTGAAAATTAGTGTTAGATGTTTATATCCTGTTTCTTATGATCTATGTTGATTAGAATGAGTTTTGTTTGAGAAATACCGCAGAAAACATCGAAACAAAAATTTAGAAGTTGACTAAGTCGACTTGCCATAAGTCGTCTTATGCCAGACATAAGTCGACTTACGGGCAGATTTCCAGATTGTGTTCTAGTTTGTTTTTGCACTGTTTTGAGATGAGTTCGAGGGGTTCGAGTCGTACTTTTATACACGTTTATTCACGAATGCACCTGTACAGTGTCGTTGCACACACATGAGTAACCCAAAGGGGGTTTTGACAAGAGTTGAGTCGTTTATAATAGAGTAGTAATTGTTCATACACTCGTTGGATATCGTTAATGAGCACAACTCAATACTATATAGGATAGTACGTCGATATACCAAATATACACAGTTTATGCGTAAGATGGATATCATTGATGAGCCCAGTTCAGTACTATATGAGGTAGTGTGTCGATATTCCATATGTACAGGCCATTGAGTCGGGTTTGGATGCTTTGTATAGCAGTTCGTCCGCACGAGTGTGCGATGAGGCTGGTAAACCGTCTATTTATGGTGATTGTGAGCTATCTATTTGGATACCTATGTGGTAGGCCGTCTCACACTCAGGCTACGTGCTGAGATCGCAATGAGACTAATAAGCATGTACACAGTTCATGATACTTGCAGAGTAGTCCGTGACTTTAAGACTGATGACTTATAGCCTAAGTTTTAGGTGGATGTCAGTTATGAGTTCAACTCATCTTTGAGATATATGACCGAGATATTTTGCTCTTGAAAGTATATGGGATTATATGTCGGTATTTATTTTATTTCCCTAGCGATTATGAAAGATATTATAAATACGATGTAATGATGTCTTTATAATTCTTTACTATTTTCATTACTTGTTAGTTTGGATCAATGATTAGTGATTCATAATTTGAGACATATGGTATATACATGAGGGTTTTCTTGTTTGGATTATTTCGCTCGACGTACTAGTCTCGTATTGTGGATTTCTAATTATTGATTTTATTTAGATTGTTATCTCTAGTTCGGTATTAATGTTTAGGTATCTATAATTTGAGACATATGGTATATACATGAGGGTTTTCTTGTTTGGATTATTTCGCTCGATGTACTACGTCTCATGTTGTAGGTTTCTAAATGTTAATTCCACTTAGATACAGGGGAAAATAATCTAAGTAGACTATGCTTAATAGATAGAACCTTCACTCCACCTAGTAGCCCTTCCCCTGGGGGCGGATGGAGGTAATCTTGTTGTAGCGTTCTGACGCTTTTGTTGTTGTTCTTTTTGTTGTTTCTTTTCTTTCAGGCGGTACAGAGGTACGGAGAGCCGCGGGATGACGGAGTTCTTGCATAGTCGCCGTCACATGAGTTTTAGAGACTCCACAGTAGATTTTCATTTATTTTATTCAGACATTAGAGTTGCATTCTCATATTGTAAAGGCAGTGTGCCTTAGTACGATTTTAGTTGATTCATGTTGACATTCTCATTATTTCAGTTATCAGATGGGTTACAATTAAGACATGATGCTTTTTATTTATGAGATATATTTTCTATATCATGTCTACTGCGTTCATTTTCATATTTTGCCTGTTTTATATATGCACTTTTGTTTGATTCCACTAGAGGATATTACTGTGATTGGTGAAACGTGTTTATGTACAGTGCGGATGCATAACATGTTTGACATCTCTGGATTCACCTTAGACTGCAGCATTGTGTGAAACCAGGGACATCACACTACACAAATGTTGTCCTTTGTCTGCGGAGTTGAAAAAATGTTGCAAATTAAGTGAATAAGTCAGCTTCACCTTTTAGTCGAATCCTAGCTCATTTCTACATAAATACAACAGACAATTTTTAACTTGAGATTGACACTAAGCAAACGGCAATGGATGATCACCAAAAAAAGAAAAAAAGTTATCTATGCATGAAAATCTGATGAACAAAAAACTACAGAAGTACCCTGCAAATATGAAAGTCGATTCACGAATAAACTTGCATGGTAATGCAAATTTGTTCATCAGTCACCAGTACTTAATAAATGATCCTTTCATATAATGCCTCTTGACAATGTCAGTGGCTACCCAATATGATACAATATATGATACAGGCAAAAACTGCCACACAAAATGTCTCGATGAACAAGGACAGCCATTCCCAAAACAAACTCAACTCTGTAATCTGTACATATTGTTTTACGCAATCCCGATACATATACCGAAACATACATTACTCAAACAAATTTCCCCTGGAAAAAATAAAAATAAAAATAAAAAATAAAAAATATCCAAACATTATTCCCACCATGAACAATCTTGATCTTCAGTTATAGCCTCCAAGGGTAGATAAATCTGTTTGCAGATCAAAAGAATGAAGCAGGCTAAAACCAAACAAAGAAAGTGAAATTTGAGTTTAAAAGACTTGAGAAAGATTAGGTGCCATTATGGTTTGTTTTTCCTTCTGCTAGTTTTAGAATCAGGGTTGTCACTTTTATCAGTGTCAGAATTCTCTCTCTGGGACTCAATCTCCGTGCTCCCACCACGGGTCTTGCGATGCCTTCGATCCTGGCAATGAGGTCAGCAGTTCTAGTTAGAATCAGACCAAGGCATCTTCAGCTTTCTTAGGACTTAATAACATCTTTTACTGCACTTTTCTCGGGGAAAAAAACATCTTTTACCGCTCATATAATGATATAAGCCACTAATTTATGAAAAAAGATGACCCAAAGTCAATGAATTCATAGCCTTAATGACACTGAAAGAAAAAAATTAGTGACATAAGTTAATGTCGTTATCATGAGCTTAAAAGCTAACAAATATACTGTTTACATTTATGTTCATCCTCTGACACCATCAAAATTGTCAAAGAAAAAGGGCTGTATATATAATAATACCAATTTGGGACACTAGAATGGGATACACTTGACCTGACAAAAGGATACACTGTATATTTGTATGTGTATAATAACATACTTAATTTTGTATATTTTAAACATAAAGTTAAAACAAATTGTTATTTAGTAGCAGCACATCAATAATAAGATCTATTGCCTACCGATCCATTCAGTTTCTTTTTCTTTCTTTTTTTTGGGGGGGTGGGGTGGGGGGTGGGGTGGGGTTGCAGTTTACTTAATGAACTCTTTTATTAAATATTATTGTTATTATATAAGAATTCCATGATTTCATTCAACAATTAATTCTTAGAACTTATATATTTAAATTGATGTAATTAATTTCAAGAATTTTCTTGTAAATAAATGATTCTTCAAAATCATATAACTATTCATTTTTTAGGTCCTTGAGTAATAAACACATGTCACATGTGTTTTTGTGCAAATTACATAATTGTAACAAAAGTGCTAAAATGCTGAGCCCTGAGTATGGAAACTATTCCTATATTTTAAAATATGGTATAATGTCGGTGCCATAACTGATATTCAGACATGAGCGTCCCACCCATATATAGAGTATCCAATAGTGGTCATATCACATTGACACACGTTGCTTTAACATAAATCTGTTATTTGATAACAAAGACTGACTTGGTTGGTTATGGATGAAGGTGCATCTAACTTGGTGTACACTCAGTTCTTAAAACAAACTAGTACATTTAATTATATGATTAATTTTACACTTTCATATAATACTTTAATAATGATTTAATTTATGCAATTTTATTATGGAGATCAATATAGAAAATGCATCTTAAATTGCTAGTTAGCAATTAAATCCATCCTTCACAATTTTGTTGAGTAGTTTTCAAATTGATGATAATATGATAAGAGTAAGTGATTAAAATAAAAAATAAAAATGAGGATATATATTACAATTTAATTATGTATGTATTGTCATATGATGATTTAGAATGTTCTAAAATTAGAAAGGATAAAAGGCAAGATAGAAAATAAATGTTTCTCTTAGAAAATAACAATTTTAATTATGTGAGATCCTATTCTTGTGTCATAATTTAGAATCCTCTAGAAATAAGAAGTGAAAAGAAAGAAAAAAGGGGGCAATATCTCCCTTGTAAACTTACCGTTTTACCCTCCAAATTACAATATAAACTAGGAAAATGTCCACTACTCATCCAACGTTCACTACCCTTGCTATGTTCATTATATAGTACTATAGATATTATATTGTTTCTTGTTGAACTGGAAGGATCATCTATTGCTCGCAGCTTGTGACTGGCTCCCAATTCTAGATGCATTCTCAACATCTCGAGTCATAAGAATTCTAGTTAAGACTATGACGTATAATCCCTTCTTTTTGGAAATTGTGAATATGCAAGGAACATATAAAGTTGTGGGCATCGCCATCTTGATCTAATGAAAATTAAATATCAAGAAAATATGACAGATACAGAACTGGATATTACCTCCCGAGTTATCGGTTCATCAGAATCCAACATGCGAACAACCTGACTCATCTTTGGCCTTTTCTCTGAATCTGGATCGACGCATCTCAAAGCTGTCAATAGAGCTCGCTTCAGAGCTCTAGTAGATGGTCTTGTTTCTATGCTTGGGTCAACCACTTCTTCTGATCGCCGGCTGGCAACCATCACCTTAAGCCAATCGACTAGATTTACCTGCAATGAGCATAACCAACAACTGTCAAACAACTAAATTTATCAAATAAACAATTAAACATCATGCATGTAAAGGCTATTAATGTATTTTGGACTTGATTATTTGTTAATAAATGATGTCTTTTTTAGTCCCAGTTGCAATTGAATTAGCACTACTTCTGGTTCAGCTCCAAACTACTTGAGGTAGATTGAGAAATATATGCAATTGATTTTATATGCTAATGTTACTGATGGAATATTGATGAACTACATGACCACCAGTATCACAAAAAAACCGCCATCACAAGTAGAGATGATAATTGGCTAGAATCAGTTGGACAAGCATGAGATAAATAAGAAGTCAAACCTAGGAGCTCTGACAATAGATTTTGAGATGTTTCTAAATAATCATAGAGACACAAAACAAGGCAGTTGCAGGACCATAAAAGGTGATTTTCTAAAGATTATGTTTCTAAAGGGCCAGAGGTAAATGACAGTTGGTACAGCTATTGCGATTGGAGGAATTTGAATGGTTTACTAACAAGGAAACTCAAAGCTCTTAAGACTCAGTATGATCCTGAGATAGTAATTACTTAATCTACATACCTCATTAGCAGGACGACCATAGTCCACAGGATCTCTCCCAGTAATGGCCTCCAACAGAACAACTCCAAAGCTGTATACATCACTTTTTTCATTCAAAAGTCCACTATTTGCATATTCCGGTGCCACATAACTGCAAAAGTAAAAGAAAATAAACATAATGAGAAAACACTGGATTATATACATCCGTATTTTGCTTAAATCTCAACTTCAAATTGAGACGCTGATTATATACATCCTTATTTTGCTTAAAGCTGCACGGCTTAGAAGAGTCCTACCCAAATGTCCCCATGACTCGTGTAGCTATATGGCTTTTTCCAGCACCCAGCAGCTTGGCCAAACCAAAATCTGACACCTTGGCATCAAAGTCTTCATCAATCAATATATTACTTGACTTGATGTCTCGATGCACCACTTTTGGCTCAATCGACTCATGTAAATAAGCAAGCCTGTAAGGAATTTATCATGATTTATTGATCTAGAATAAAATAACAGTCTGTCCGATAATTGATAAGATTGGAAAAAGATCAAAAGAGAGGAAATTGTAGTGCCAAATGAAACTAAACTTGAGAGAATTATGTAGTGATGAGAAATACAAAGTTACAAGGCATTCAATTTATATACAGCTTAATTAATCATGAAATACATATTAGGATTACAGAAGTTACAACCAAAAGTTCTGTGGATGGACTTACGCCTTAGCAGTACCAAAAAGCACCTTTACACGAGCCTCCCAAGTAAGAGAACCTTGCTGACGCATAGCTCCATGAAGCCATTGTTCTAGATTACCATTATTCACATACTCGTATACTAGCATCCTGAGTGTTACATACAAAATCAAATGAGGCGCATAACTACTAATGGTATCAAGACTGTAAATGTAAAAAAAGAACTCATCACATTACTACATACATATATTTTATTTACAAAGAACATCATAACACTTGATATACGAAACAGAGAGGAACTAAGCAAAAAGGTCACCTTTGAGTACCCTCCACACAATATCCTAGAAGCCGAACAAGGTTCTTGTGACGAACATGTCCAATAGCCTCAACTTCTACTCTGAATTCCTTCTCAGCTTGTCCTCTAAAACACAGCTTAAAGAAAGATAGTTATAACAGGCAGATAAACCCTATCTTCTATAGGACAAGGGTGACATATTATAAGCATGAAATAAAGTATATATAACCAGTAAACCTATGTGAACTTACAGATTATTGAGAAGCTTTTTGATAGCTACAGGAGTTCCATTAACAAGATGTCCATGGTAAACAACCCCATAACCACCCTCACCGATTACATTTTCCTTTGAGAAACGATTGGTTGCAAGTTCCAAGTCCCTTAAAGTAAACCAGTGACCCCATCCAAGGTGAGAGAACTCTGGAAGACCCGTCAAAGGTGAAGGAGCAGTTATCTTATTAGAAACAGATGGTCTGCAAACAGTAGCAATGCCTGAACTCCCTTCTTCAGATTTTGAGCTACCATTTCTTTCCATATAACGAAATGAGCTTGAATTATTGTGCTCCTTTCCTATGTGGACCGTTACCTTATCTGAGTCCTTCTCATTGGATTTATTGTGAACTGTGACAAACTTGTTGGCTGAGATTTGATCTACTCTCACCTCTTTAATTTCTTTCGATACGGGTGGAATATTGGTGATAGGGAGATTGTTTGAAGAACTTATTATCCTCCGCCGGCTTCGAAGAGTAAGACATAAAACTAGTATGGCAAGAACACAAGAAATTAAGAGCCCAACGGCTATTCCAATCAGAACCCAAAGTTTAAGGCCAAAAACATCTGTCTTCTGAGATAATTGTTCACTAAGAGAATTTCCAGATGATGACATATTCTTGCCTGATGGCAAGCTTTTCCTATGGCAACAAAGAGATGAAAACGGAATATTAATATTACATTTAAAAAGTAAAGTTTCTCCAAGCATAAAGTATATTTCTTAAGAGTCAAAGAACGTTGAGTTCTTTTGCCCGACAAGTTCTTCTGCACAACACATGCATGCATATACCTTTTGGTATCATAATGGATATGTCCTAAGATATGGAACAAAATCATGCAAAATATAAATATTACAAAACCAGAGTCAAAATCTTTTTAATTCTCATCATGGTTTAGCTATTTTGAGAGGCTAATATCAAGATATGCTATAACTCAAGATTGAGTATGAGAGATTATTTTAAGCTACCAATACCGTTCAGTGACATAATAATGATTTTGTGTCACTAGTTTTCCATCTAAATACTAAATAATACCAAACTATATGCTATAAGTACAGAATTTAAGCATTATAAAGAAGCTTGGGACATCTACAAGCCTAATGAAAAATACAAGTTTCAGTTAAAAAAATAGTCTAATCATTATTCAATGTACACCATCTCCAGTTG